GAGGGATCAGTAGCAGATTACCGGGAGCAGTTTGAGCACCTAGCTAGCAAGGTGGAGCGACTCTTAGATACAGTGTTGGAGGGGAATTTCATGAAGGGGTTGAAGTCGGAGATCCGAGCAGCTGTGAAGGTGTTGATGCCCCGTGACTTAGAGGAGGCCATGAAGTTGGCCCAACTTGTGGAAAATCAGCGGAATTTAGAGAAGGGAGCCAGGAGTAGCAGCACCAGGGGCATACACAGGATGATGACTACTCATCTCGCACCTAAAGGCCCTGCAACAAGAGGAAATCGAGAGGCTACTACCAAGAAGAAGACAGGAGGAGAAAATGGAGGAAACTTCAAGCGGCTGACAGAGAAAGAGATGCATGAGAAGAGGGCTAAGGAGTTGTGCTTCCGATGCGATGAAAAGTACAGACCAGGACATCGGTGCATGGACCAAACTCTTTGGGTTTTCACCGTCTACGATGACAAGGAAACTGAGGAGGGAGGTGAGGAGGAGACAGAGGAGGAGATGAATGAGAAGCTACACTTGGATCTGGCTGAAGTCTATCTGAACTTAGTGGTAGGGTTCACTACGAATCACACTATGAAAGTGAAGGGTGAGATAGAGGACCGGGAGGTTGTGGTGCTGATTGATAGTGGGGCTACTCATAATTTCATTTCCACCTAGGACGTCGACCAACTAGGAGTGAGATTGGTGGACACCGGCTGTTACGGGGTGATGATGTGCACGGGGAAGGTGGAGAAAGACCAGGGGATTTGTAAAGGAGTGCGACTGACGATCCAGGGGATACAAGTGAGGGAGTACTTTCTTCCACTGGAGCTTGGGAGCACGGACGTCATCCTGGGGATAAAATGGTTGCAAACTTTGGGTGACACCAAAGTGAATTGGGGAGCACTCACGATGGAGTTGATGGTGGATGGAAGGAAGGTAGTGATTAAGGTGATGCGGGGCTTTCCAAATCCCTGGTTTCTCTTAAAACGGTGGTGAGAGATATCCAATTGGCAGGCGGAGGGTATTTGGTGAAGTTGCATAGTTTGGAGGGAGCAAGATTGGAGGAAGGAGGAGACATACCCCTCTCCATTCAGCCGTTGATTCAACAGTTCAAAGAGGTGTTTCAGCCACCTCAGGGATTGCCACCGCAGAGGGAGCAGGAGCATGCCATAGTGTTGAAAGATGGAGTGTCGCCCATCAGTGCCCGACCTTATCGTTACCCTCAATTCCAGAAGGATGAAATAGAAAGGTTGATTAGAGAGATGCTGGAGGCAGAGATCATCAGACCAAGCATTAGCCTCTTTTCTAGCCCTATTTTGTTGGTGAAAAAGAAGGATGGTAGCTGGCATTTTTGTGTGGACTACAGAGCACTCAACAAAAAAACTGTACATGACAAGTTTCTTATACCAGTCATTGACGAGCTGCTAGATGAATTGAGTGGGACAGTGATCTTCAACAAGATAGACTTGAAATCGGGTTACCATCAGATTCGAATGAAGAAGGAAAATGTACCCAAAATGGCCTTTAGAACTCATGAAGGACATTATGAGTTCCTGGTGATGCCATTTAGCCTCACCAATGCTTCAGCTACTTTCCAGGCCCTTAGGCCCTTATGAATAAGGTTTTTAAACCTTATCTCTGACGATTTGTAATGGTATTCTTTGACGACATCCTGGTCTACAGTAGGACAGAAGAGGAGCTCTGGGAGCATTTGAAGAGGGTGTTAGAGGTACTGCAGGAGCACCAACTGAGGGATAATTTGAAGAAATGCTGCTTTGCACAAGCCAGTGTAGAGTACTTGGGCCATGTGGTGTCAAAAGAGGGAGTTGCAGCATATCAGTTCAAAATTGAAGCAATGATAAGGTGGCCAACGCCAAAAAAATTGAAGGTATTAAGGGGATTCCTAGGACTGACAGGTTACTACAGGAGGTTCGTGAAGGGGTACAGCTCCATAGCATGGTCACTCACTGAACAGTTGAAGAAGGACAGGTTCCTATGGGGGGAGGCGACCACATCAGCATTTGAGAGCTTGAAGAAGGCGATGACTACAGTGTCAATCCTAGCCTTGCTAGATTTCACTCAGACCTTCATTGTGGAGACAGACGCTTTCAGATACAGGCTGGGTGCAGTACTGATGCAGAGTCATAGACCCATTGCTTATTTCAGCCAGGTGTTGACTGCTAAAGCCCGACTGAATCAATTTACGAGAGAGAATTAATGACCATCGTCTTGACCATCCAGAAGTGGCAGCCCTACCTACTTGAGAGACATTTCATTATCAGGACAGATCAGCGAAGCCTGAAATACCTGCTGGAATAGCAGATGGTGACGGAAGAGCATCAAAGGTGGTTGTCCAAGTTGCTAGGGTACGATTTTGAGATTCAGTATAAACTAGGGGTGGAGAATAAGGCGGCGGACGCTTTGTCCAGATGTATGGGAGAGCTGCAGACAGCGACACTATTCGTTCCTTTGAAGCTTCACTGGGAGGCTATCAGGGAAGAAAGCGCTAGAGATGAAGAGTTTGGAAGGATCAGGTCAGATTTGCTGAAAGAGGAGGGTAGCCTTCCAGGGTACTCCTTAGAGGGAGACAGACTGTTGTACCAGGGAAGATTTGTGATGCCCCGTACCTCGATCCACATCCCAAATTTACTCCAGGAATTTCATGGA